ATCCCTGGACCGAAAAGTTTTTTTTTTCTAAAAAAAAAAAAAAAGAAGAAAGAAAAGAAAAAAGAAGCTCAAGATTATATTACTAACTACAGTATATACAAATTTAGAATGTTTTTATCTCTTTGTTGAATTGACACTTTTTTAGTTCAATTCAATTGGGGTTTTAAAAAAAATCATTATTTCAGAATCTTTGTATTTCACAATCTGTCTTTAAATTTTTTATTTTTGGGGGGGGATGGTGATTGAATCAGAACCTTGTGTTTGCCAGGCAGGTGTGGCACCACTGAGCTAAATCCCTGGACCGAAAAGTTTTTTTTTTCTAAAAAAGTTTTGTTTTTAAGGAATCTGACAGTCTTTGTCATTTAATTAAAGCATTTATTCCATTTTCATTTAATGCAATTACAGGTATATTTAAGCTTAAATCTAACATCTTACTATTTTCCTGCTATTTTTCAAAAATATGTTCCTTTCTCCTTTCTTGCTTTCTTTTGGATTTTGAAAATCATTCTATTTTCCTGATAATTATGCACACTCAAATTGATAGTTACACATCTTATTAATATTCTTTTAGGAGTTGTACTAGTGATTATAATATACATCTTTGTCAAAGTCTAACATACATTATTTGCATTTTCTTTTTCTTTTTTTTTCTTTTTTGGTACCCCGGGATAGAACTCGCGTCCTTCTGCTTTCGAGGCAGGCTGCAGAACCAATGAGCTAAATCCCCGGCCCTGCATTTTCATTATTTCCAAGACAATACTGGAATCTTAGAATATTTTAACTCCATCTTCTTTGTGAAAATCATATGGTATTGTGGCCAAGTCTTTTGATTTTATACGTTTTTCAAGTTCAAAAAACATTATTGTTTTATACAATATTACTTTAAATTTTTTTCTCCCATTTCCCCTTCCTGTCATTCTTCATTCCTCATCTTGGAACTTCCACTGTGATTTTTTGCTTTCTGCTTGGTGAACCCTCCATTTCTCCAAACCCTCCAAGTTTATCCAGCAGTTTCCTGTAGTCATTTATAGGTCTATTTGTACATTTTCACACATCATCAATGTCTCTGCCTTTTTCTGGTGTTCTTCCTGCATTTTCAGACTTCCATGTGAATAATTGTTTTCTTGCTAGCAGGATGCTCTCTAATAGTCCCTTTATTTTGTGTCTGAGGATGACAAATTTTCTCAAGGTTTGTTTCTAAAAATGACTTTATGTCATCCTCATTATTGAACAAAATTTTGGTTTGTCACGCTCTCTAATTCTCAGCCTCCAATTATCCATGGAGCTACATTTTGGGTTCTTGCAGGAAAGAAAAACTTAGTATGAATGTTTCATTACTTTGCAGTGAACATAAACTCTATATGTTGTAAAGAAAATCACACTTGCTCAACTTTTCCTGGGTTACACAGGCCAGAACAAGTAAAATGAGTATCAATGTTTGAAAGTTTGTAAAAAGCAAGTCACAAAAAGCAGGCAGGAAAGTGAATGTTCACTACAATTCTCCAAGCTTTAAGGATAGTTCTTTCTACTTCTCACTCTCTTAACCACCTTCATTCATTTATTGTCTTTCAGCAAGTTGATTTTTTTAACCTTTGCATAGTGCTAGAGGCTGTAAATTTTGATGAACCAGTCATGAACTCAGCTGGCAAGAAGTTTCCAGTAAGAAGATAACAGATATACAAATATCAGTAAGAGATCAAGACATCCATGAGAAACGTCAGACAAAAACTCTTCTCCATTTAGAGGAGTGAAAGATTGCTTGTGGGGAATAAGGAAGTTAAGGGACAAAACCAAAACAACACAACAA